TATATATATATATATATATATATTATAATAACTAAAATTTCAATTACTATTTTAAGAACAGTACACTTAATAATATTGAAAATATTGTTATCTAAAAATTTAAGACATTACAAACAGGCTGAGCACGCCCTCTGCTAATGGACATGCCGAATACCCCCGACATGCCACATACCCCCTCGATCGATGAACATACCGAATGGGTATTTGGCTATGACGAATATCCATGAGGTAAAGTAAAACAAGTGTTAATTACATTAAACACATCCACATCAGCTATAATCAGTGAGCAAAACTTTGTGCACATAGCCCAAAAATCCAAAAAGGCGACGATTAACTCCAAATTTTGTCTTCCTGTATAAATCAAAAAAGTCCAGTCCATAATATTACAAAATATAATACAGATTAAAAGCAAAAAACAAAAAAAATAAAAAAAATAAACAACAAAACAAAATAGAAAAATAAGAAGAAAAAACATGTTGCTCGTATCTTCCATTATCCTCCGTGAACCCCAGCAACTGCTCCCCTCAACTACTCTACTACAATTCTCACAGAGCTACCTTACCACTGCAAATAAATCACCATGCCCTGCAAAAATCTCCAAAATCGTCTCTTAACCAGATTCACAAGCCATATCCCTAAATTTAGGGATTTTGGCAGAGAAAGATTAATCAAATTAAAAAATTGTGTGCCTATAAATACCATAACACAAGATGAACAAAAGGAATGAAAAAAATTAACAGAAACAGAACAGAGAAACTACGTTAGTTGGAATATAATCGGAAAGAAAAAACTCAAATAAGGAGCACAAGCAGGATCCTCAAAATTGTGGTATCATCTTCACCCACTATTTTTTTTTCTCTCCTGTACATATAGTAATACTGGTGTGCGCCTCCTTGTTTTTTTATTTGTGAGTAAAGACGAATAAAAAGAAAAATACTAACCTCAACGATTTGTTGTTCGTGCTCTAAATTCATAAATTAAATATGTTTCTCAACTTGAATCATTTTTTACCATGAAATTATATTAATAATTTCTACAATATATATTAAATTTAGTCATTTTTAAAACTAAATAATATTTACTCAATTTTTATTTTTTATATAATTTTTTATTAAACTTAAAAATAATAAATTCAATGTGTTTCTCAATTTTAATCATTTATTACCATAAAATTATGTTAATTTTATAAGTTGTGTTTTTAATATCATAACAACCTATGTTTATTTAGTTTGTATTGTTCAACTCTTTTTCTTAATGTAATTTAATTGATTTTTAATTTTTTAGCTCTTCATAGTCATATTTACCATGTTTTTTAACATTGTACATAAGTGAGTTGGGTGAATTGTGAGGGCCTCTACAATATTTTTTTTATATATATGTTTTTCATATAAAGGAAGTAGCCAAAAAAATATATCAATTATAAATTGTGGTTATGAAATTAATAGTCATATTATCATATCTATTGTCCAACCTTGACCATCACCCACCCATAAAATATAAAAAATTTGAGGATTGTTAAAACAATTCTAAGTGTAACACCCCAAATTTTTTCTATTAATACTACGAATAATTATTATTTATTTTTGTATTTATGAAGATTATTTCCTTATAATTATTTTGATTAATTAAATGGGTTTGATTGAAGTTTTAAAGGTTTTTAATAATAATCATTTCAATCTGATAAATTCTTTTTGAAATGAATATTTATAACAATTTTTAAAATACAGGAATTCAGTTTGAAAATTATAATCAAATAAATTTATTCAACATTTTTAAAAACTAAATTAAAGTTGAATTTCTCAAAAGATAAAACATAAGGTCAGAGGGTGAAGCTTTGATATTTCAAAAATATCCGCGAGAGTTGAAGAAAGGTATCAAAGTTATCAAAGTACTCTAAAAGATGAGTGGTTTCTTTAGGAATAGTAACTAACTCATAACTAATTGTACCGAGTAGTTTGCAGAGGTTATATATTGAATGGTAACTTCGGCCAATAAAATAAAAAAAAAATAATGTATTTGATTTTTAACATTTAATTAATTTTGAAAATTATTTTTTATTATTTAAAAAGAATAAAATAGTTCAAAAAAATTAATAGATGTATACATTTGATTTCTTTTGAGTTTTTTTTTCAAAATAAATTATTATTATTTTTTAACTAAATTGTTAACTTTAGTCATTTTTTTCTAAATTATGTTTATTCATTTTTTTAACAAATAAAAAATTAAACTTAAAATTCATAAATTAAATATGTTTCTCAACTTGAATCATTTTTTACCATGAAATTATATTAATAATTTCTACAATATATATTAAATTTAGTCATTTTTAAAACTAAATAATATTTACTCAATTTTTATTTTTTATATAATTTTTTATTAAACTTAAAAATAATAAATTCAATGTGTTTCTCAATTTTAATCATTTATTACCATAAAATTATGTTAATTTTATAAGTTGTGTTTTTAATATCATAACAACCTATGTTTATTTAGTTTGTATTGTTCAACTCTTTTTCTTAATGTAATTTAATTGATTTTTAATTTTTTAGCTCTTCATAGTCATATATTTTATGTTTTTTTCCAATGTTTTTTCCGTAAAAAATAATATTGGTGGCGACTCCCTATTTTTTAATCTATTTTTCGCCGTCCCGTCGCGATCTCGGTTGCGACAGATGGCGACTCCACTAGGGAAATTTTGAGAGTCATTCCTATAATAATTAATTAAGCAAATTAATAATAAATTTTAAAATGTTTACCTCACCTTTATTTTTAATAAATATTTTCCTTATTCATTATTTGTCTTATTTGTATCTATTTGCGTTGGGTATTTGAACTTTAGGGTCGAAGATTTTGTTATATCATGTTTGTTGTTTCGCAGATTGGGTAGTTTAAGATTACTCCCTTCACACACTTTACTTTCACACACGTTTATGAGCGAGGTCCTATGCCCGGACTTGAGTGCAACCTAGGATAAGTAAGAGGTCGAGTAGTGGTAACCTTCTAGATGTACATCTTGTTTGGTTATCATGAAGGCCTCACCTAGAGTTTAATCCTTTCAAGGGTATTATCACTTCCAATAGTTTACCTATTGTGGTGATTGATATTCTAAAAAGGGGTTATTGGCTCTAGAAACCTGTTTTAGAACTATAGAACCACCTATTGTGAGGAACACATATTAATGGCCCTATAGCCTTTTATTGTTAGGAGAATCCTTCATAAGATGCAAGGGGATCAGTATTCTACCTCTACAGTCAAATAACATAACCTATGCACAAAATAAAGAAACTCTCTCGCTCTCTCTTCCTTTACTACATCATTTTATAACAAGTATCATGCATTTCATATAAAATAGATGAAAATAATTTTTTCATTTCAACAATCATGCAAAATAAATAGATAGAATCATAAATGGCATGTTGCATCCATTTCTAGGTTGTTAAGGGACCATAAAGACCTAATACTCGTTGTGAACATTTTCTAAGAGACATGGAATCAGATTTGAAGAAGACATTGAAGTTGAAGATCAGACAACCTAATTTGAAGAGTTTAAGGGATCTCAGTAGAAAGCTAAAAAATAGCCAACGCCGAACTTTTGTTGTTAGATTTGGAAAGCTTCTTAACCTATTAGAAGTTACCGTGCAAGAAGGAGCTCTCACTGCTTTAGCTCAATTCTACGACCCTCCTTTAAGATGTTTCACCTTCCAAGATTTCCAACTTGCTCCAACAATTGAAGAATTTGAACAAATACTGGATATTCCTTTAGGGAACAAAAAGCCCTACCTATATATGGGTCATTATCCTTCACTAGCTACAACTGCTGCAACCTTGGGGATTGGAGTAAGGGAGTTAGCAAGTAAGAAAGAGATGAAAGGAAGAGTTGATGGTTTCTCAAGAGCCTACTTAGAAGGATATGCATTATGTATGGCAGAAAATGAAAAGTGGGATGGTTTCATGGATGTGCTCGCACTCATCATTTATGGGATTGTTCTATTCCCAAATATTGAAGACTTTGTTGACTTTGCTGCCATTGATGTTTTCTTGGCCTACAAGCATGAGAGGAGAAGCCATGTACCGGCCATTCTTGCTGATACATACCACACACTTAATTTACGCCATGAAAGAAAAGGGGGGATGATTTTGTGTTGTTTGCCTACATTATACTTGTGGTTCATGACTCACATGTTCAAAAAAGGAAGACAGATAGAGACTATAAGCAAAAGCGAATGGGCCCACAACATAGCAAGTCTTAGCGAGAAGACCATCGTGTGGTACACTTGTGAGCAAGACATCAGTGAAGTGATTTGCCAATGTGGAGACTTCCCTAACGTACCACTGATGGGAACCAAAGGGTGCATAAACTACAATCCAGCTCTTGTAATAAGGCAATTTGGTTATCCAATAAGGAGCCCACCTACAGAAGAGTCAATCACTCCCTTCATTGTCTATGAAATGAGTAAATACTTGGATATGCTTAACAGGATTAGACGTGCTTGGGATCGAGTGATTAAGAAAGGAAGAGAGTTGGGGAAAAGAAGTTACACTGTAGAGGGAAGTTATCACCAATGGCTTTGTGAGAGAGTGAAAAAGGTCAAGTTGCCATTTCGTAGCTCGGTTCCAGTTATTGAAGAAACAACAATTCAAGATCCCATGAGTTTGGAGGAAATTGAGGAACTCAAAAAAGAGCTGGAAAAGTCTAAAAACGAAAAAGAAGCATTGAAGAAGGAATTGATACGGACTCGCCAAGAACATAAAGCCTCACAAGAAGAAATTACAAAAGTAAAGAAGTACGTTGAGTTAGCCAACAAACGAGCAAGAATAGAAGAAGAATGCAAGTTAAACACTCGAAGTTGTCTAGAGGCTGCTGATACAGAGCTAAAATTACGAAGAGGAGAGCGAGATGAGGCTAGAGTTAATAGTGAACGATGGAGAGAGGCATGGAAAAAGTCCAAGGAAGCTGAAAGAAGTGCACAAAGGCAACTTGAGGATTTGAAACAACAATTGAAAAGAGTTGTGGCTGAGTATGAAAGTAGAGTCCAAGATGAAAAACAACTAAATGCCAATCTTGTTTCGCAACATCAAGCCATGTTAAATGCAAGAAATCAACATATTATGGAACTAGTAGAGGAAGTGGGGCAATTGAGGAATACTGTTTAAATACATGAAGAAAATCAAAGATTCTGGGCACGTAACCTTGTGAATCGAGTTCAACAAATCAAAGGAATGCTCAGTGATGCCTCTTACTTATTGCAAAGAGCTGAAGGAATGATAAACCCGCTGTCCACTCCCGCAGAGATTCATGCATTCCTTGAGTATTGAAGAGAAATATCATATATGTATTTTGTAATGCTCCACCCTTCTAAACTTTTTGTACTTCACTTTATCTATTTAATGAAGAAGGTTGTTGATGTCTTTCTCTTTACTATTGTTTCACTCCTTCATTTTATGTAACTTCATGCTTATAGTATAAAGGAAGTTTGAAAATAAACGTTCGCGCACAAATTAAATCTGAATCTCGTATTAAATCTAGTACTTAGAACGTGACGTTCTAAAGAAAAAACAACACTAAAGGCACTCATGCAAATTCTTGATTCCATGTTTTGTGAGACTTAGTACCTATGACGTGACGTTTTAGGGAATAGTTTTAGGGGATGTTCACACACGAGCCAGGTGACTTATGGTGCTCTAACAATTTCCCATATACAAAAGCATAATAATTGCATTTTCATATTCATCACATACTCATCACATAATCTTGCACAGTGCGTGAAAGTGAACGGAAAAACAAGTATTGAGGCAAAGAAAATATCCCTACGACACCCTTACTGGACACGCGCCAAGACTAGGATCATGGAGGGAGTAGTGGAAGATTGGGAACAACAACATGACGAGTTGAGAGGAGATGTTAATCAATTGAAAGAACAAATGAGTAAGATTTTGGACATGCTACAATCAATGGAGTCAAGAAGGGATACAAATGGGAATTCGTCTGAGCAACCTCAAGTTACACCTACTTACCCCCCTGGGTTCACTCCTCCACCACAGCCCAACCAAAATACTCAGGTCCAGTTCCCTCCATATGGGTTACCCCAAGGCTATACACCACCGGTGGCTGCAAACACTTTAGAAAATGATCATCACGCTTCCACCATGAACCCTCAAAACCAGATTCATAACACTCAAACTCTATTCCCTCCATATGGCTTGCCTCCGGGAAATACGCAACCAGTGGCTAATAATAATGAGAATAATACCATTACCTCTGTCTTAAACCCACTGAACCAAACACAACCCCAAGATCTGTTCTATTGGATGGAGTTCTACAATAATAGTAGATAAAACTCAACTTTGGAAAATGGTAAAAGAGAATTGTTGTCTAAAAAATTAGAAAGGTAATATAATAATAGAATTATAAAAATAACTCCTTATATGTATCGATTTGGTGGATATAAAAATATAGTTGTAACATTTCTTGGATGGAGTTCTACAATAATAGTAGATAAAACTCAACTTTGGAAAATGGTAAAAGAGAATTGTTGTCTAAAAAATTAGAAAGGTAATATAATAATAGAATTATAAAAATAACTCCTTATATGTATCGATTTGGTGGATATAAAAATATAGTTGTAACATTTCTTCATTTAAATCAATTCTAACTGATATTTTTTAACAATATTAAGACACTTGAAAATGTAAAATTGAGTAATATCTATTATATTAACAACTTTCATACAAAACAAAATATCTACATATTTTAGGTTGAGTTTATTTTTTCATAAACTATAAATAATTAATTACATGAATCGTTAAATATCTCATATTTATATATGACATTATATTATTTATTTTTGTAATTTTTTAAAGTCAAAGAAATTATGGATGACATATTCTATAAAGAATTAAGATTAATTCTCGAAAGGTATGAGATTATTCAATTTAATTATTATTAATTCTTATATATATTTTAGTTCATGTTAATGTTAACTAAAAATAATAGCAAAATGACATTTAATTTCTATCATAAATTACAGGGAAGCTAAAAATTGTCCTGAGGTGGAATCTTTATTTGGTCTTCCTATTAAGGAAATTTTATGATTGTAAAACATAATGTTGTGTAAAATTTTTTATATCATTATATGCCAACAAATGAATTCATTCCATAGATAAGTTATTTTAAATTTTAAGATAATATACATATAAAGGTACGAAGTGCCTCGGGCCCGCTAGTTATAAGTAATAAACATTAGTTTTTAAAGTTAAATTAAATTTCTTTTATACATTTATATATATATATATATATATATATATATATATATGCATTTTCGGGTTTTTATAAATCCTACGTGGCTTTCTTCTGCTTTCTTCGCTTTTGTGCGAGGACGAGAATCACGCTTCTCCCCCCTTTTCTTCGCCTTTTCGTCGTCGCAAATCACCGGAAACGAACAACAAGTTTCTTCGCCTTTCTTTGCTCGTAAACAGTAAATCCATGGAAACAAACACTATCTTAGTGTGAAATGACCTGCCAATGGAGATTGTGATTGTGCACAGGCAAAAAGTTTTCGCCTTTTACAAAATGGTTTGGATCGTGTGTCAGAACATGGAAAAGTTAAACCAAAGATACTAAATTATTAGCAAAAAGGACATTTTTGCATTAATATAAAATATTAGGCACTAAATTTATGAAATTGTTTTTTTATTAAATGCTGTGGGTATTGCACGAGAAGTCTTTTTGTTTTATGCTCATTAGTAGAATTTGATAGAATTACTATGGGACTCAAGACCGTGTAACTCAAATGACAATTTTAGTAATACATTTTAATTATGTTCTTTTAAATATATTTTTATTATTGATAAGTCTATTAAAAATTGTAAAATTTTTGAATTATATTTATACTTTAAGATATATATATATATATATATATATATATATATATAAATGTATAAAAGAAATTTAATTTAACTTTAAAAACTAATGTTTATTACTTATAACTAGCGGGCCCGAGGCACTTCGTACCTTTATATGTATATTATCTTAAAATTTAAAATAACTTATCTATGGAATGAATTCATTTGTTGGCATATAATGATATAAAAAATTTTACACAACATTATGTTTTACAATCATAAAATTTCCTTAATAGGAAGACCAAATAAAGATTCCACCTCAGGACAATTTTTAGCTTCCCTGTAATTTATGATAGAAATTAAATGTCATTTTGCTATTATTTTTAGTTAACATTAACATGAACTAAAATATATATAAGAATTAATAATAATTAAATTGAATAATCTCATACCTTTCGAGAATTAATCTTAATTCTTTATAGAATATGTCATCCATAATTTCTTTGACTTTAAAAAATTACAAAAATAAATAATATAATGTCATATATAAATATGAGATATTTAACGATTCATGTAATTAATTATTTATAGTTTATGAAAAAATAAACTCAACCTAAAATATGTAGATATTTTGTTTTGTATGAAAGTTGTTAATATAATAGATATTACTCAATTTTACATTTTCAAGTGTCTTAATATTGTTAAAAAATATCAGTTAAGTGTGTGATCAACAAGTGAAAAACGTAGGGGAAATCAAAACCTCTATGAGGTTCATTTTTTTGAAATTATGTAGATTTGGGATGATTGAGGGAAACCTATTGGAAGCTGAGATGTGTGGCCTTCACCGAACTGCTATGCATTCTATTGAGAAGTGCGATGAATTTAAGCAGATTCTACAAGATCTGATTGACTCAAACTTGGTTCAAGAAAGTCAATTTCCAAGTGAAGAGGATGTGTTAATGGCTCAATTAAGGTAATATAATAATAGAATTATAAAAATAACTCCTTATATGTATCGATTTGGTGGATATAAAAATATAGTTGTAACATTTCTTCATTTAAATCAATTCTAACTGATATTTTTTAACAATATTAAGACACTTGAAAATGTAAAATTGAGTAATATCTATTATATTAACAACTTTCATACAAAACAAAATATCTACATATTTTAGGTTGAGTTTATTTTTTCATAAACTATAAATAATTAATTACATGAATCGTTAAATATCTCATATTTATATATGACATTATATTATTTATTTTTGTAATTTTTTAAAGTCAAAGAAATTATGGATGACATATTCTATAAAGAATTAAGATTAATTCTCGAAAGGTATGAGATTATTCAATTTAATTATTATTAATTCTTATATATATTTTAGTTCATGTTAATGTTAACTAAAAATAACTCAACCTAAAATATGTATCGATTTGGTGGATATAAAAATATAGTTGTAACATTTCTTCATTTAAATCAATTCTAACTGATATTTTTTAACAATATTAAGACACTTGAAAATGTAAAATTGAGTAATATCTATTATATTAACAACTTTCATACAAAACAAAATATCTACATATTTTAGGTTGAGTTTATTTTTTCATAAACTATAAATAATTAATTACATGAATCGTTAAATATCTCATATTTATATATGACATTATATTATTTATTTTTGTAATTTTTTAAAGTCAAAGAAATTATGGATGACATATTCTATAAAGAATTAAGATTAATTCTCGAAAGGTATGAGATTATTCAATTTAATTATTATTAATTCTTATATATATTTTAGTTCATGTTAATGTTAACTAAAAATAATAGCAAAATGACATTTAATTTCTATCATAAATTACAGGGAAGCTAAAAATTGTCCTGAGGTGGAATCTTTATTTGGTCTTCCTATTAAGGAAATTTTATGATTGTAAAACATAATGTTGTGTAAAATTTTTTATATCATTATATGCCAACAAATGAATTCATTCCATAGATAAGTTATTTTAAATTTTAAGATAATATACATATAAAGGTACGAAGTGCCTCGGGCCCGCTAGTTATAAGTAATAAACATTAGTTTTTAAAGTTAAATTAAATTTCTTTTATACATTTATATATATATATATATATATATATATATATATATCTTAAAGTATAAATATAATTCAAAAATTTTACAATTTTTAATAGACTTATCAATAATAAAAATATATTTAAAAGAACATAATTAAAATGTATTACTAAAATTGTCATTTGAGTTACACGGTCTTGAGTCCCATAGTAATTCTATCAAATTCTACTAATGAGCATA